ATGTACAAAACTTAAATGCTCTATTAGTTTTGGTAAATGTATATACCTATCTGTAATATCACTCTCTAGATAATTACCCTTTCTACACCAATACTTTCACACACATACACCCAAGGCAAGGTAACCAATTCTTTAAATTTATCTTTCCAAATATTCACCTCCCCTTTTCTAGAGATTTATATAAATGAAATTATAATCTTTTTTGTCTGACTTCTTTCACCCAGCAAAATGTTTTAGAGTTGTCTCCATGTAATTGTGGGTAACCTCAGTTTATCCTTTTCTTTTTCTTTTTTCTTTTTCTGGAATAGTAGTTTATTGCATGAGCATACAATTTAAAATCAGTTCTCCTATTAACTATTGTGTTTAAGTTGCTTAGAAGATTCTTGAACAAGTCCTTATACAAGTGAAAATATGTTACATTTATCTTCAGTAAATATCTACAAGTGGAATTAATGAGTCATGAGATGGGTGTATGATTATTTTTATAACAAAACACTTAACTACTGTCTTTCCAACATTGTTGCTCATTACATAATCTTACCAGCAACTTCTAAGAGTTCCAATTGCACCACAACCTTGCCAATATTTGGTGTTATCAGTCTTACTATTAATTGGAATCAACACTCCATCTACATTTGATAAAAATGGTTCATATAGTTGGGTTTAAGTTCACTATCTTAATATTTGTTTTTTATTGGTCTTTTATGTTTTGTCTATTTTCTTGTTTTCTGACTATTTTTCATTAAATATTTACCTAACATCCTCCTTTATTGCTTTTATTTGCCTTCTTGCTATAATTATTTAGAAAAGAATTTAATGATTACTCTATGTATTTCAATTTGCATCCTTGATTTATCACCATTTATTTTTATATAATATCATACTTTCATTTGGGCTAGTATTGTCATATATTTTACATCTACATGTTCTATTAAGTCCATATAACATTGTTATGTTTTCTTTAGAAAATCATTTTAAAAAATTAAAAACAAGAATTCAGATTTATTTTACATTTACTCACATAATTTCCATTCCTGAAACTTTTCACTCTATTGTTCGGATCCAGCTTTTCTTCTGGTGTCATTTTCCTTAACTCCCCCGCCCAAAATTTTTTAAAAATATTTTAGTGGTATTTTTGCTTTGGTGACAAACTTTCCCCATTTTTATTTTTTAAATTTTTTTAAAAAATTATTTTGCCTTTATTTTGAATGATATTTTCTCCTGACATAAATTTCTAGGACAACTGTTTTTTCTTTCTGAACTTTAAAATTTTGTTTCACTATTTTTATGACAAGTTAACATTTTTATTAATGCAATGTATATATATCATGGCCTTTTGCTGTCTGCTTTTAATATTTTCCCTTTATATTTGGGTATTGATAATTTAACCATGATATGGTTAAGTATAACCTTCCTTTTATTTGTCTACCTGGAGACATATAGATTTATCTTTTCTCTCAAATTTAGGAAGAATTTTAACCATTATTTCTTCAAATATATCTTTTCTAGCCAAGCTTCAGTGTCCTCTTCTTCTAAGACTGCAGTTACACACTTGACATTCCTTGGATATGCTTCCCTTTGTTCCAGTACATTATTGCTTAAGTGTTTTATTGATTCATATTTGGAAATATTTTATTCAAGACTTTTGTCATTAACAATAAGAAAAAATTAATAATTTATGCTTGTTGTGATAGTGTTTAAAATAAAAATGAAGTTTATGACTATATCAGCATGTTAATTATGCATATTTTTGACAGCCACATAACTTAAAGAGAAAATGGTTGCAATAGATTTCTCACGGTGAATAAAATGTTTGGAATAATATACAGGAAAGCACTTTGTAACCACCCACATTCTATTTAAATGGACATGTCAGCTGAAATTGGTCTTATATCCTGTTCCTCCTCTCATGTAACTTACACGATAGCCACTGGATTTCTGGCCATTCTCAGAATATGCCGTGCCTTTTCGAATAGCTCTCCTCTCCACAGAGGATTCTGTGGCCTAGACAATCTTGGTTGGTGCACAAAGCTGATCAAGTAAATGATACAACAAACCTAGCCTCTACTTCACATTTTCTCAAATTTTGGACTTTGGAAAAACGTCAAAACCACCGCACCTCTTAAGGATGATGGCGCTAAGAGAAAGCACAATCTTTGATTGCTCCTAAAGAAGAGTTGCCTCCTTTTTAATCCATTCATTTCACTAATGTAACATTCAGTGAATTCTTACTATGTTCTCCAATAAGGGGGAAAATCATTCTTTTTTGCTTTCCTCCTATCCTTACATTAGCTACAAAACACAGTCTTCTGTTGATCTACCCTGCCTTCTTACAGAAAGAGGATTGATTTAAGTGGTTGGTGAGACAGAGGCCTTCAGCCACATTAACCTCAGGATGCAGCCCTTGTGTTAAAGGTAAGGAAGGTGTCACCATATCCCAACTCCTCTTCAGCTGCAAGGAAGCTTGAAGCTGACTGACACCCTTCCATGGGTTGGTTGGGTATCTCTGTAGGCTCTTCTATATCTTAATAGGTTAAGAAATATAGAAATAGAAATAGCCTATAGAAACAGAGAAATGTGATTAATCAGGGTTCTCTCCCAAACCCTCAGTGTATTAGGAACAAAATATTCTACTAAAATGAATCAGAAGTGTGTCTTATGCTCAAAGAACTCACAGTTCTGTGGTGTTTCCACAGCAATTAATGTATATATTATATACATTATAATTTAGCCCATGAATTATAATCTTTTGTTTAGTTTCTACCCTCTTCATCTAGACTGTTAGCAGTGTTAGGAATGAAATCTTTCTCAACCACAGAACCTCAGCATCTAGCAAACTAGTAGGTAGTAGTAGGGGGTCATAAATTATTTACAGAGAAAGCAACTCTCATGGCATGTTTACTGTGAGTGACTTCAGATCAAGGCCTTATGTTAAAGTACAATATCTATAACTTGAATTTGAAACTGTGAGTTGATTTCTAGCACAAAACTTTCAGTTCCTACATTCTCCAGTTCAGTACCAACTTCTTTTCTATAAAATGTCATGTCTCACTTGTCATTTTTACTTTCTGGGTGAGGTGGTGAGGTCCTTCCTGTTTCTTCCTAAAATAGAACTTTCCAAATTAGTCTGTTCTACAAATGTATCTTGGGTTCCTACCTCACTTACTCAGGGTAGGGAGAGATGGGTACATAAAGACTAAGTGGATTGAAAGAATTAAAGTGCATACATATTACCCAAGAATCTTGCTAAACCATAGATTCTTATTGAGTGTGTGCAGCCTGAAAAAGCACAAGTTCTACCAAACTCCCAGAGGTTCCCACGCCACTGATTTATTTGAGCAACAAGGAAGTAGATGATCTATTTCATAATAATTCATTCATTCAATACTAAAATTTCTTCAACAGTAAATTTAATTCTAAAATGTATCAGGCACTGAGCTATAAAACTAAAGAGGGATGTAACCCACAGTCTAGATAACAAACACAATAACAAACAAATGCTATGACTGTCATGAGATTAAGAAGACAAACTATAGATTGGGAGGAAATATTTGCAAAAGACATTTCTGATAAAGGGTTATTATCCAAATCACATAAAGAACTCTTAAAATTCAACAAGAAAATAAATAATCCAATTTAAAAATGGAGAAAAATAATCCCAAAAAAAGATTTCATGCAAGCATATGCAAAGAGGATTAACATAATATGTTATTGGGAAATCACAACAAAGAGATATCACTGAACACCTATTAGGATGGCAAAATTCCAAAATACTGACAATACCGAATGCTGGCTAGAATGTGAAGCAATAGGGACTTTCATTCATTGCTGCTAGGGATGCAAAACAGTAGAGTCCCTTTGGAAGCCCGTTTGGCATTTTATTAACAAAATTGAACAGACTCTCACCAATGGGATGTAACAATCATCCTCCTTGCAAATTACCCAAAATGAGTTGAAAGTGTGACCACACAAAATTAGAATGTTTATAGCAATCTCATAATTTAAAAAACTTGGGAAAAAAACAAGATGTTCCTCAGTAGGTATAGTGAAACAATTGAATATTATTCAACACTGAAGAGAAATGAGCTATTGAGCCATAGAAAGACACAGAGGAAACTTATATGCATGTTACTACATGAAAGAACTCATTTCAAAAAGGCTACATGGGATATGATTCCAGCTACATCACATTCTGGAAAAGGCAAAAATATGGATGCAATAGATAGATTACTAGTTACCAGGGGTTAGAAGGAAAGGAGGGATGAATAGATGGAGCTCAGACATTTTTTAGGGCAGTAAAGTTATCATGCATGTCACTATAATTATGGGGATAGGCCATTATACATGTCAAAGCCCAAACAACTTCAAGACCAAGAGTAAATGTTAAGGCAAACTAGAGACTTTGGTTGATAGTGATATCTCAGTATTTTTTCAGTTTTAATAAATATACCATGGCAGTGAAGCAGAGAAGGATATTAATGAGAAGGGAGTCTGTGTGTGTTGTGGGGTGGAGAAGGAGCATATGAAAAAATCCCTGTGCTTTCTGCTTAGTTTTGATTGAACTAAAACTAGTCTTTAAGTCTCAGTCGGTCTCTCTTTTTCTCTCATCCCTTCTGGACTAGACGATCTTGGTTGGTGCACAAAACATATCAAGTAAATGACATAACCAACCTAGCCCCTACTTCACATTTTCTCAAATCGTGGACTTTGGAAAACATGTCAAAACCACCCAGGGCATATCTTAAGGATGAAGATCATACAGCCATGTCTTAGACCTCCCAAATCAGAATTTCTTAGTGTCAGGAGTTGGTGATCTGTAGTTTAACAAATTCTTCAGGCTGTTTGATGTGCATGAAATTTAAGAATCACTTCCATTTTGTATCCATATATTTTTGTTACAAAAGTAAACATCAAATTGATTTCAAGTACGTTTTAATAGCTTTATTTTTTTATTCGGAACAATCAACAAGCTTAGAATTCACAGGAAATCATTAAATTACATACTATGTATAAATTAATGAAATAATCATGGAACAATACTAAAATAGATTTATTACATATATCTCTCTGATATTTTTTACTAAGAATGAATAGAAGCATAAATGAATTGTGATTTTGACAAGCATGGTACAAATATAAGAATAAATCATTGATAGAGATGAAGTCACTCCCAACATTATCTTTGATTGTAAGATGTATTAAGAATATTTTAAATACAGTGATGGAAATATACTTGTTTTTAAATTGGAAGGAATTTATGAAAGAACCGTTCAACTCTGTGTGTTCATCTGATAAGAAGGCAGCTGCATGCATCCTCCCATGCTTCCGGTTTCTATTTTTAAGATCACAACTAGTCACTATTCTTTTTTACATAAATTGCCCACAAATGTAGCTTGGTGAAAAGAACCTACCTAGAAATGGTTGCTTAAAATTCTAGATATATAATGTTATCAAACTGGCTAAATAATGTTGACTAAAAAACCAAATCCACAGAACTAAAATTAACATGAGCATTGTGTAAAAAAAGCTTCATCATAAAACCTCATGTTTGTCTTTGTGTGTGTTCTCTACTCACACTCCCACTGTCATAATTTTGTATGGATTATTTTATTTAATAACTCATTCTAGTATTCGGTGTTTCATCAGCAAACTAAAAATGGAAAGCCAATTTGATCAATTTCTTTTGCACTATTTCCGTAAGTCACCTGCCTCTCTCTACAATAAAACACACACATGCGCACACGCACACACACACAGACCACATTCATTTGTTCAGCAGCTCACATGTTTGTTCAAGTGGATCCTAATGTTTGCCATCCACTTTGTACCAGGACTTCTTCATTATTTAGTAGCAGCACCCAAGAACACTAATCTCAACTGTTGAATCAAGTTGCAGGCTACTGCTTAAATAATTAGACTCAAGTATTCCAGAAATTCTAAAAATCTGAAATCTGAAATCCTCCTAATTGGTTGCAATCTCAGTATTTTTAACAAATGGTTGTCAAACTGTAATGCTTCAAAGCATATGATTTGCACTGTTTCCTTCCTAAAAACAGCCAAGTTACAGATGTTAATGAAAGTATGTCGACCCCTACAGACCAACTTGTTATTCTAACGTTCCATTCCATTACTTGTCCCTTTTATTATTGTCAGGTCAAGAATGAGAGAGTTAAAAGTTCAGTTGTCACTTGCCTGATAATACCTGTTGTCATTGCTTTTTAGGTCTATTCAGATGCCCACGAGTATATTAAATCAGCAGCATTATGTCACATTCACATACCTGATACCACATGACCCAAACACCAAGTCACTGTCTTGCTCATAAAATACTATACATTGGTTGCTCCATAAATACCTATATATTTGCTTCACAATCCAACAGGGTAGATTTAAGCGTTTGCTTGCCAGGCGTAGGGAATATCTACCCCACATCCAGTTGGGATATTATATACCTGTATTGCACCTATTCTTTCCATTCTTTGTTTATGTCAAGTCTAAAATTTTATTTCTCCTTTATATGTAAGAAACAATAGCTTTAGATTGACAAATAAAAATTTCTAATTACAGAATATTGACTGGTAACACACAATGACTATATTTATAGTTACTCAAAATAGCACATTCTTTCCTTTTCAAGAGTGTGTAGTGAATTGATCCAGATAATACAAACCTCTCTTCTCCACAAGTCTCTCTGATAGCCTCAAAGGAAATATTGAGTTTATATATTGGGTAAAATATAGCTGAGTTTAAATGTTCTACTATTGTGCTATTGACAATATGAAACAGTTTTGGAGAGAAGATTTTGTTGTTCAAGGCTATAATATAAAATTCTCCCAAAGAAGTTATCAGGAGGAATTCTGATCATATGTTCTATGGACCCTTAAGACACAAGCACCACCATAAACCACCTTGAAGTGAAAATTCCCAAGTTGATGAATATTTGGCAAACTGTTAGGGCCAGAGGAGATGACAGGCCCATCATTTGGCTGGTTGGTATCAGGACCGGCTTTGACTCCGCACACATACTGAAGCATATTCTGTTGGTGCTTCTTGCACTGGTCTTGCTTGTCTTAGGTTCATACCAATGATAGAATGATTCAGAGAAGCATAAACGATTCCCTGTTTGTTTTCGTCCAGGGATGGGTTAGAATAAACTTCAGAGCCTTCTCTTATCCTGAACAAGGAGTCATTATCATAAATTTCAGTTTGGGATGGCAAAGTTTGGGAATTTTGTCTGATGCTCACTTCAGCTTGATCACTCCTCAAGGGCTGAGAGACATCCACCTAAAAGAGAAAAAAGGTGCACCACTGAATGATAATATGGCCTCATTAGCAAACTGTGAGCAAAAGGCTAAATGGTGTCATCTACCTTGAGAGAAATAATCTACTTTTCCTCACATAGGCTGATAATGTCTACACTTTTGGCAAATTCTTGGTTCTTAAGGGATAAATTTTGAGGACTACTATGTTCCTCCCAAGTGGTTATTTTGTGCTTTATTATGGGTTACTTTTGAAATCATAGAACACTTTAAATTCCATTCAAAATAAAAGTTTAGCCCAAATTAATGGGAAAAACATAAAGTGCCCCATGAAAACTTCAGGTATTTCATAATCCAATGGGAAGTATTAATGTAGTATAGAATAAAAAGATTCATAAATAAAGCAGAATAGTGACCTCCTGATGGGGGCCAAAAGAATAAATATTATGAGCTATCCAAGATAAATTATTATGATCTGAGACCTGGAGTTGGAAAATTGATGTCAGTTTTAGAGGGACAAAGTTTAGATAAAGTTCTGAAATATTATTCCAGTTGTTATTTCTATCACAGGAAAGTTCTTATACAATCAGTGCCACAAGGATCTCGCCCCATGATGTGGTGGAAAAAGTTGATAAAGACAGAAGCAGCAATCCCACTTACATACTTATGGCACATTATGGTTTATAATATGCTTTTAAAAATGCATATTGAGCTGGGCACAGTGGTGCATGCCTGTAATCCCAACAGCTTGGGAGTTCTGAAGAAGATCTCAAGTTCAAAGCTAGCCACAGCAACTTAGTAAGGCCCTAAGCAACTTGGCAAGACCCCGTTTCAAAATAAAATATAAAAAGGGCTGGGGATGTGGTTCAGTGATTCAGTGCCTTGGGGTTCAATTCTTGCTAATGCTACCTACCCCCCCCAAAATGTTAAAATGCACATATCATAGCATTCAACTTTTAAGTGTATAATCGCTTTTCTTGCCAAGGACCATTTTGGAATAAATCCAGAATATCAGTTTTTTATATGTACTGATAAATTAAAGTCAAAATGGCTGTAGAATGGACAAAGAGAAGGCAAAAATTCTTTCATAAGCCTTAGAGGCTTGTTGATAGGGATAAGTTGCTGCACATTGCCACAAAAACTGAAAATAAAGTAATCTTTGGTACTTTGTAAATATCCAATGGGCCTTCAAAGAGTCCAGAGTTACCAGTCTTTCCTTGGTATGGCAATGGACTTGCAAATTTTGTAACCGCTCTGATTTGAGTCAATTCCCCTCATCAGGTTTGTTCAAGTTTTAACCTGCAAAGAATGCTGAACTATGTGTTCCCCCTTTTAAATTCAACTTCAAACCATAATTAACACCAGCTTATACAGGAAAAAATATGACCACATTCTAATGAGTCTGGGTTTTCCTTGCATGGTATATTATTTAGATTATTATTTTAAATAGTTTCAAGCCTGACTATGACAGAATGCTGTATTTTTCTTGTTGTTTACTTAGAAATATAGAAAATAATATTTAAGTACCATTCCCTATTTGAGAAAATAAAGCTTTAGCACCAAAAATAGTGCCTACTAGTGCTTATTTAAAACTTACTATAAAGTTTATCAAGGTGAATGCATTTGATTCTGCATACAATTCAGCCATAAAAAAAGAATGAAATTATCCAATTTGCAGGAAAATGGATAGAACTTGATAACATTATGTTAAGCAAAATAAACCAAACTCATAATATCAAGGGTCATATGTTTTCTCTCACATATGGAGGCCAGGGAGGAAAAGAAAAAGAAAGGTGAGTGGGGGGGATCTCATGAACATGGAAGCGACATCAGTAGAATATAGGAAAGGGACAGGGGGAGGAAGAAGGGGCAGACGAAACTGGGAAATGCTATTGACCAAATGATATTGTTATATTGTTTTATCGTGCACATGTACAAATGCATAATAATGAACCCCACCATTATGTGTAATTATAATGGAATAAAAATAGGGGGAAAATACGATAAAATTTGGCAGCTTAGGTGGGAAATGTTGAATACTATTTAATATTACATGGTTGTATCTGTCTCTGGAATTTCTGGAACTTTCAAGATGCTTACTGCTTATTTGTCTCTAATTTTCCTTACTGAAACACACACACACACACACACACACACACACACACACACACACACATCAAATACCTCATTT